GACGCGCCGGCCGCCGCCATTGCCTGCGACGCTGGCCGAGGACACAGCGGGTCCTGCGCGCCCGCTGCTGGGGCGCGCGCGGGGGCCGCGCCGCGGCTCGCCGGGGGCGGGCCGCCGAGCGAAACGCTCGCGGGCCAGACAGCGGCCCAGCTTGGTGCTCAACATGGCCGAGGCTGGCGGGCGGGCGGCGCAGCGGCTGGGCTACTACGCCAGCTCGCTGGCGGCCGCCGCTGTCGCGCCGGCAACGCAGCGGGACTACCTGCAGGCGTTGCGCCGGCTGCTGGCCTGTCGGCGGATGCCGAGGGCGCTTCCGCGGTCGGCTGCATGCGGGGGCATGGCGCTGGAGCAGGACTTGGCGTTCCTGCGCGACGGAGGACTGCCAGAGGGAGACGCTCCGAACTCGCTGGTGGCGGTGAGCCAGGGCCCTCCCCACCTGCCGTGCCCGCCGAGACGCGGGCCCCTTTTGGCGACGGCCGCGGGGACAAGCTGGATGCGAATGGTGAAGTCTGCTGCGGCCTCCCGCCCCTTGCCTCGTCGTCGTGCTGATGGCGCTGTGGCTGTGCGCTCGAGGCCAGGAGGACATCGCGCTGTTCCTGCTGCTCACCTTCGAGACGCACATGCGGCCGAGCGAGGGGCTCGACCTTTTGGGCCTGCAGCTGATGCCGCCTGCGCCAGGCGAAATGGGCGTTTGCCAGTATCGGGCGCTGCTGGACAGAGCGAGCGAGCTCGACGTGCGTGGCAATACAGGCGAGTTTGACGACAGCATCGTGCTGCTGGAGCCAGGCCTGCGCAGCCTGAAGCGGGCGCGGTCGGGCAACTGCCCGCTCTTCCGCTGCTCGTGCGTGGACCTCCTCCTGGCCTGGAACTGGCCGCCCTGAGCCTGCAGCAGTGGCAGGGGGCGCCGTGCTCGCTGAGGCGCGGGGGGGCGTCAGAGGACAAGGCGTCCCTCTCCCGTCCACTCTTCGTGGTCCAGAAGAGGGGCGGCTGGCGCTCGTCCCAGACTGAGCGCCTCTGCGAGAAGCGCGCATGCCTCAGCACCCTGATGCATCTGGCGACGCTGAGGCAGTGCGAGGTGGCGCGCCAGCGCGAGGGCGCGCCGGGGCGCCGCGTGCTGCTTGCTTGCGAGCGGCGCGCGCATGCCAACATGCTGAAGCGCCGCGTCCTTCTAGACCTGTTCGCTGGCACGGCGCCTGTGATTCGCTACCTTCGCGAGAAGGGCTACGGCTGTCCGTCGTTTGACATGCTTCAGGGGCCGCAGTTCGACTTGGGCCGAAAGGATGTGATCTTCGCGATTGCTGGCTGGATGCGAGCGGGCCTGATTCGGGGTATGTGGTTCGCCGCGGCGTGCGTCGCCGCGACGCGTGCCGGGGCGCATGTGACTGGCCGTATGCTGCAGCCTCTCAGATCGACGCAGCACAGCCGCGGGCTGCCTGGGCTGGGTGAGCGGCATCGAGCCCAGGTCCGCGAGGCCAATGATCTAATTGATGCTGGTGGCCGTTTGCAGCAGTTCGCATGGGGGTTAGGCATTCCTGGTGATGAGGAGAATCCGCAGACGTCCATATTTTGGTGCTCGCCCTCTCGCCTCAAGGCGTTGGCGCGAGGCGCCGCCGTTGACGCCGATTTTCGTGCCGCTGGGATGCCCATGCGCAAAAGAAAGAAGCTCGTTTTTGAGCATTGTGGTTCTCCGTCGGTGCCTCGTCTCAGATGTCATGGCCGTGTTTTTTTTTTTTTTTTTTTTTTTTTTTTTTTTTTTTTTTTTTTTTTTTTTTTTTTTTTTTGTAATATATAAAAAAAATCACAACCGCAAGCATGTTCACATTGCCGGTAAGATGAATGGGGAGTGGATCTCCAAAGTTTCGGAGCCCTATCCCTCAGTGGTCGCAGAATTTGTCGGCGATGTTCTCACTCATTCGATCTATCGCCGTGCTGTGGCGACGCCCAGTGCTCTGTGATTGTTCGCTCGCCAGCTTACAGCATTGGAATGGCGTGGTGATGGGGTGTCAGTCTCTCGGCGCGCCTTCTCTTCGCGTGCCCGCGCATGAGGCTTGCAACGCGTCGAATCCCAGCGTCGTGCCTCCACTGACAAAACTTGCTGGCTTGTGGGAGCGTCAGGCGAATGTCAATGGTAATGTTGACGACCGCTGCTGCCACTTACCCCTCAAGCTTTTCCAGCCCGCCTAATGCCAGCCCTCACCTCGGCGGAGTTTTTGCGGTGGATTTCAGTCTCTCGGCGCGCCTTCTCTGTGCGTGCCCGCGCATGAGGTTTACAGCGCGTTAAATCCCGGCGCCGTGCCTCGACTGACAAAACGTGCTGGCTTGTGGGAGGGTCATCGTCGTCGTCGTCGCCGTCGTCGTCGTGTTCGTCGTCATCGTCGTCGCTGTCGTCTGCGACGTCGTCGTCGTCCCTCGTCGTCCGCGTCGTCCTCGCCATCGTAGTCGTAATCCGCGTCGTCGTCGCCAGCGTCGTCGTCGTCGTCGTCGTCGTCGTCGTCTGCGTCTTCGTCGTCGTCGGCGTCCGCGTCGTCGTCGTCGTTGTCGTCGGCGACGTCGTCATCTGCGTTGTCGTCGTCATTATCGTCGTCACCATCGTCTTTTGCTTCGTCGTCTGCGTCGTCGTGGTCGTCGTGGTCGTCTTCGTCGTCGTCGTCCGCATCGTCGTCGTCCATGGCATCGTCGTCGTCCGCATCGTCGTCGTCGTCGCCGTCGGCGACGTCGGCTTCGTCCGCGTCGTCGTCGTCGTCGCCGCCCGTCGTCGTCGTCGTCGTCCGGTTCGTCCGCGACGTCGTCTGCGTTGTCGTCGTCATCATCGGTGTCATCATCGTCTTCTGTGTCGCCATCTGCGTCGTCCTGGACGTCGTGGTCGTCGTGGTCGTCGTCGCCGCCGTCGTCGTCGTATTTGTCCGCGTCGTCGTCGTGTGCGCCGTCGTCTTCGTCGTCGGCGACATCGTCGTCGTCCGCGTCGTCGTCGTGGTCGTTGTCGTCGTCGTCGTCGCCGTTCTCGTCGGCGATGTCGTCTTCTGCGTTGTCGTCGTCCTCATCGTCTTCTGCGTCGTCGTCTGCGTCATCGTGGCCGTCGTGGTCGTCGTCGTCGTCGCCGCCGTCGTCGCCGACGTCGTCGTCGTCGACGTCGTGGTCGTCGTCGTCGTCGTCGTCGTCGTCGGCGTCGTCCATGTCGTCGTCGTCGTCGTCGTCGTCGTCGTCGTCGTCGTCGTCGTCGTCGTCGCCGCCGCCGTCGTCGCCGCCGCCGTCGTTGTCGTCGTCGTCGTCGTCGTCGTCGTGGTCGTCGTCGTCGTCGTCGTCGTCCGTGACGTCGTCGTCGTCGTCCTCGTTGTCGGGGACGTCGTCATCGTCGTCGTCGTCGTCCGCATCGTCGTCGTGTGCGGCGTCGTCGTCGTGGTCGCTGTCGTCTGCGACATCGTCGTCGTCCCTCGTCGTCCGCGTCGTTTTTGCCGTCGCAGTGGTCACCCGCGTCGTCATCTGCGTCGTCGACGTCACCATCGTCGTCATCATCGTCTTCTGCGTCGTCGTCGTCGTCGTTTTCGTAGTCGTCGCCGCCGTCGTCGCCGTCGTCGTCGTCGTCTTCGTCGTCGTCGTCGTCGTCGCCGTCCGTGTTGTCGTCGACGTCCGCATCGTCGTCGTCGTCGTTTTCATTGTCGTCGGCGACGTCGTCGTCGTCCGCGTCGTTGTCGTCGTCGTCGTCCGTGGCGTCGTCGTCCGCTGTGTCGTCGTCGTCGCTGTCGTCTGCGACGTTGTCGTGATCCCTCGTGGTCCGCGTCGCCTTCGCCGTCGTAGTCGTCACCAGCGTCGTCGTCGTCGTCGTCGTCGGCGGCGTCGTAGTCATCCGCGTCGTCGTCGTCGTCGTCGTTTTCGTCGGCGTCTTCGTCGTCTGCGTCGTCGTCGTCGTCGTCGTCGTCGTCTTCTTCGTCTTCTGCGTCGTCGTCTGCGTGGTCTTGGTCGTCGTGGTCGTCGTCGTCGTCGTCGCTGTCGCCGTCGTCGTCATCGTCGTCGTAGTCGTTTTCGTCGTCGTCCTGTGCGACGTCGTCGCTGTCGTCTACGACGTCGTCGTCGTCCCTCGTCGTCCGCGTCGTCTTCGCCGTCGCAGTCGTCACTCGCGTCGTCGTCTGCGTCGTCGTCGTCATCATCGTCGTCATCATCGTCTTCTGCGTCGTCGTTTGCGTGGTTCTGGTCGTCGTGGTCGTCATCGTCGTCGTCGCCGCCGTCTTCGCCGTCGTCGTCGTCGTCGTCGTCGTCGTCGTCGTCGTCGTTGTCGTTGTCCGTGGCGTCGTCGTCGTCGTCGTCGTCGTCTTCGTCGTCGGCGACGTCGTCGTCGTCCGCGTCGTCGTCGTCGTCGTCGTCGTCGTCGTCGTCGTCGTCGTTGTCGTCGTCGTCGTCGTCGTCGTCGTCGTCCGCTTCGTCGTCGTGTGCGACGTTGTCTGCGGGGCTTAACCTCCCCACACGGAGATGGAGGCGGTGGCCACGGGCAGCCTGGTCGGGTCCCGGCAGCGACGAGCCCCTTGCCGTGACGACCCCCCCTTCGCCCCGCTCTGGGGCACGGGCGGGCGGGCGGGGAAGGGGGGAGCTTGGGGTCGGCGGCGAGCGGGGGGTAAGTGAGAAGGAGAAGGCCTTCTCAGGAGGCAGCGGGGCTTCTCAGAAGCGCTCCAGCCTTCTGATAAGTTTTCTGCATCTTCGGGCAAGGTTTCGAACATTTCTCGGAAGGCCAGGGGACTTCCGAGCCTTTGAGAAGGCCCGCCTCTTCTCACTTCCCCGTTGGACTCGCCGCCGATCGATGGGTGAGGCTGCTTCTTGAGGGGAGAGCCTCGAGGGGAGAGCCTCCTCCTCCTCCTCCTCCTCCTCCTCCTCCTCCTCCTTGTCCGAGGAGATGGGGGAGAGCGTCGAGGAGGAGGAGCCTCGATGGGGACAGCCTCGAGGTGTGAGGCGAGGGGGGTGCCGTCACGGACGGGGCTCGTCGCGGGAGGGCTTGGTCAGGCCGCGCCCGACAG